AATGCGTGCGGTGAACCTGCGCTGAATCTGACTCAAGGTCTTCCAAGTGGGCATCTAAGTGTTGCATCTTGCTAGCCAGATAGCGGTAAGCTGGTCGGAACAATACGCTTCAATGCCCATATGTGTGCACATTAGCCAGGATTTTTTTTTGTATGTGACTTTTAACTTGTTGACAATTCTTAACTCTCCAATATGTTATGCTGAACGTCCGTAAGCTCAGTTGGTAAGGCATTTGATCATGGCCTTGAAAGTTCCGTCGTTCGATCACCTGACGGTTTTCACATTTTCAGTGCATTACAGCACCATTTTCGGTGCATTACAGAGCCATTTTCGGTGCATTACAGCACCATTTTCGGTGCATTACACCATGCACTCTAGCACCAAGATGACCCTTGGCTAAACGGGCGTCATTTGGCCGGTCACTTGAAGCGTAAGGAAACGGGGGATTTCAAAAAGCCAATTTGTAACATCCGGTGGAAGCCAAGTCTAGCTGCTGGATTGTCGGAGCCTTACCAAGCGGACGAATCGTGGTGCCCATCAGGCAACTCGGCTGTGAGGACCGCACAGTCAGCATGGACAGGGCTGGTGCCACGGGTTCTGAGTTGAGGGAGGAGCGGAGTTTCCGTGTGACATTCTGGACAAAACGGGGCCTCCCCACAGCGGGGCCTTCTGAGGGGCAGCGGCGTCGTATTGAAGGGGAGGAACACCGAGAGCGTGCGCCCTTTATGAAGTTGTTGCATGCATCAAATCCGAGTAAATGTCAGCACTTAAAGAATTCCAAATGGGCCTCTCATGTCCAGCAAAGTGTCTGGCTTTCCTAAAATAGGGAGGCTGTTACAGGAAAGAACCTCCTGATTGTTAACCTTCTTTTCCTGAACCAATGGCCCTCCTGATAAGGGGGCCCTTGCTACTCAGAACATGATGCTCCCGGTTCACGAAGCGGGCCTGCAAATTTAGCCAAGGTGATCATCGTCTGGAAAAAAATGCATCCAGGTCCAGAACTGCGACCATGTGATGCGTGACAGGAGTCTCCTGTTCCAGAAATGGGGTCTCCTGAATAAAGAGGGTGCCTTTTGACCCGGAACAGGACCTTCTAGTCCGTAACGGGGCCTTCCGAGTCAGCAAAGGGCCCTCCGTAACATAATTTTGGCCATACTTATGTATAGCATAGGCTCTCTACTTCAGAAAGGCTGCTCATGATCCAGAAAACTGACCTTTTTATGTAGAAACGCCTAATTTATTGCTCTCTTTTTTAACAAGTTCTCTGCTCAGTTATGATCGTCTCCTTGATTTTAATTTGGGTAATATACGGATAGCGATGACGCCTTTGGTTCGGAAAAGGGCCTCCCATTTTTTAAAAGATGCCCATACACTTTTGCCTGTCGGGATGGAGTCAAGAGTATCTTTTGCCCTCTGCCTTACTCTACCGCGCCGTCCCTGAGCACGGTCAGCACAATCCCCCTGCTACCTGATGATGGGGGACGGGAGGCGACAGAGGCGCCCGCTGGTCCCTGACGCAACGGCCAGGTGGGCGCTGGGCGCGCGGCGGCGCACATCAGAGCCCAGTTTAGAAACTGCTAAGTCTGGTGCCTGTCAGCGATAAAATTGGCACCCGCCATGTAACGGTATCCGCCTTCTGATGGATCGCCTCCTGTGACGTCACGATCGCGGACGCATTGGCACGCTCGCCCGCCGACGCCGGTCGTGCTCGGAACGCGGATAAGCGCCGGTCGTGTCCGGAGCGCGGATAAGCGCCGGTCGTGCCCGGGGCGCGGATGAGCGCCGGTCATGCCCGGGGCGCGGATAAGCGCCGGTCGTGCCCGGAGCGCAGATAAGCGCCGGTCGTGCCTGGAGCGCGGATAAGCGCCGGTCGTGCCCGGAGCACGGAGAACCGTCGGTCGTGCCTGAAGCGCGGATAAGCGCCGGTCGTGCCCGGAGCGCGGATAAGCGCCGGTCGTGCCCGGAGCGCGGATAAGCGCCGGTCGTGCCCGGAGCGCGGATAAGCGCCGGCCGTACCCGGAGCGCGGATAAGCGCCGGTCGTGCCCGGAGCGCGGATAAGCGCCGGTCGTGCCCGGAGCGCGGATAAGCGCCGGTGCGTGGATCGTAACGTCACGCGACCATGGCTCTACTGCGAGGGAGCCGGTGCACTGCTAGCTTGGGCGATCTGCGCCGATTTACGCCAAAACTTGTCAAGACCGTGCGTTCTAGGTGATAGCGTAGTTGTCGCGATGCCGCAATCGCAGTCGCTGTCACACGACTGTGTCATAGTGAAACCGGCTCTCATGCGAATGCTCCAGCCACCTCAGGAAAGTCGCCGGCAGGAACTGTATGACAACCGGACGGGCTGCCGTTTGTTTAATTAGCTCCACACCGAAGTTGGCGCGATACACACCCGGCAGGAACGGGTGCTCCCGTCGATCGGCGGCAGTCCTGCTGCACTAACGCTGGTGGTCTTGTTCTAGTGGTGATGGTCTCTGATGTCTGGTTCGCTGGTGGTTGGTGGTCCCTGATGAAGCGGTAAACCGCTTGGTGTTTGTCCGGAGGTTACTGTTTACCTGTCTTACCCTTTGCTTCACTGCTTTGCGGGTAAAGATTGGCCATCTGCGTGTAGCAAGTTACCCCAACACAGTCTTCCTCATGCCATTTGGTTGGCTTGTTCGATCACGGCGCAGTGCGGAAGACGGCTGGTCTCGCACACGGCCCCGGACTGGAGAGGTGGCAGGGCTGGGAGTGGGCAAGAACGCGTCTTACGCAGCGCCACGCTGAGCGAATCGGGTGCATCGCTTGATCGCATCACTTAAAAACAGTTACACTCGATGCAATGACGTATGATGTTTATCACAGGCTGATTGGTATATCACACATATGTCATCACATCACACATATATCACATTGTCTTGGTGATTGATATCACAGACACAGACGCAGACTAATTGCCAGGTGACGGAAATGCTTCGTGTCTGGGAAATGCCTCGTTGATCGCTCTTGTCACCAACACCTCGGGAACCGCCATAACTGTACAAGTGTTTCAACAGTTTTGAGCATGTGTAGAATGAACAAACACCAGGTTTCAGGACTCGTTTTGTCTCGCAACCGTTGGCGGAAAGCTAAGGGTTTTCTTTTTCAGCCCTTCCAAAAAAGCAAGGGCAAGCTAGGGAAGGCATCTCCTTTGCACGGCGGTTTGCTTGTGTTTGCAATTTAGTTGCGTTTACAGATTATTTATGTGAACTGAATTGTATTGACAGCATTACATCGTAAAAGGCCCAAATACCGTAGGATTTACTGATATTTACTGATAGGTACTGGTATGAGGCCCATATGTACATACACTTACATTACGTTTGCTCGTATCACCTTGTTTTCATAATCAAATCGTATTTCTTCACATGCAGCATGCAATGGCGGTACCTCATAGCATCGCCCCTAAGAAAACCTCATTAGGTTTGCTGTAGTGGAGATATGAGTTGTAATGATAATGGAATTAGTTGCAAATTAATTGCAATTTATTTTGTAATTAACAATGCTCAGCGCTGCCAGAACGCTTTTATGAATTTAATGGTTTAGGCGAATTTTTGACGGCTACAATCAAATATTGGGAGCCCCCCAGACAAACATGGGTTAAGGGGAAGGACCTCAAGGGAATACAAAGCTCGACTGTAACTTCATAAAGTCTGCTATGGAGCTACCTTCGAGTAATAATTTCAAAGTGCTGTGCATTGTTGTGCAAAGTTCACCGTAGCTGGGTTTGATAGTTTTCTCAGCTCTGTAGTGCCAGTATTCTTGAGCGCCATGTTGTTATCAATGTCCGCCTGGAGCACTCCCGAGCGAGATATTCTCCGATATGAGACCCACCTATACGTCAGGCTGCATGTGTGGCATTCCTCCCCGTCAGCAGCCTCTGGTCTTGATTTCCTCGCAGCAGTCTTGAGCTGCTGATATATTGTCTCATATCTCTCGGACGGTCGAGCGTTGTGACGGGTGGGCGTTCCGGTGCGTGATAAGCTGTAGGCTGTAATCTGCTCTGATCCCCGTCACATTCCCAGAGCTGTCCGGCTGATGTTTGCGGCAGTCAGCGGTCTCGAAACTCAGCGTCGGTTGACAGTTTGGAGCGCGTGCACCTGTTGACAATAATGTAGCCTGGCAGGCTGGGGTTTGATTTATAATGTCGATGCACTCATTGATAGGTACATTAATTAATTGTTTGTCATGTGACCGTTCTCAGGAAACCTTCCTCCTTCATGCATGTACATCCCCAACAGACATGTTTTACGTGGTGCTTTTCCCCAATAGAATGCCTTTTTTCCTTGCTACCTTATTTTCTCTGCAAGTGATCGCCTTTGGCACTTCCCATGAACGACTCATGGCCCGTGACAGCGGGCTGGGAGACCGACGCGTCGGTCCGCTCTGGCCGTGGACAGCGTGAACGCCGCCGATCCCTGCTCTCACCGGCGATCCGTGATCCTTGGCCCGCGTCCCAGCGGCAGCGGCGTCTGATCCCTAACCCCTGATCATCTGACCCCTGACTGTCTGACCCCTGACCGTCCGACCCCTGACTCCTGACCATCTGACCCCTGACCCCTGACCATCTGACGCCCGACCGTCTGACCCCGACCGTCCGACCTCTGACGCCTGACCCCTGACCGTCTGACCCCTGACCCCGGACCGTCTGACTCCTGACCATCCAACCCCTGACGCCTGACCGTCCGACCTCTAGCCCATGATCGTGTGAACCCTGACCCCTGACCTCTGACCCCGGACCGTCTGACACCCGACGCCTGACTCATGACCGTCTAATCGTCTGACCTCTGACTCCTGACTCCTGACCCCGACCCCCATGCCATGACCGTCTGACCCCTTACCCCTGCCGTCTGACCTCTGGCCGTTTGACGCCTGACGGTCTGACCCCTGACCCCTGACCCCTGGCCGTCTGACCACTTACCTCAGACCGTCTGACCCCTGGCCGTCCAACCAATGACCGTGTGACCCTTGACCTTTGCAGGGCTCGGAGCAGCAAGCCGATTTGGCGCGCCACCGCCTCTCCGAGGGTCTGCTCAGCGACCACATGACCATGGTGAATGCCTTCAACCTGTGGACGGCGGCGCGCGACCGACCGACGTTCGCGCGGCGCAACTTCCTCTCTGGCAGCACGCTCGAGATGATCAGGTCAGTGCCGCCCGACCCGGCGGCCAGCTGGCGGGAGGCAGCTGTGGCGACCGTCGGCGGGCGCGCGCCGCCTCAAACGGGCACTTTGAGATTTCGTGGGACACTGAGATTTTGGCGTGTGATCGCTATGCCGAAAATAGCACTTCCGGTACACCGGGAGGTACTGTTGAAACGGACATGTCAAACCATTTGGGGATTCAGTGCGGCAGGGACTGTTCGTAGTCACGAGTCGGCAATGCAAGCAAAATTTGAGCGTCTGAGATGCGCAAATGGCAGAGAGAATATTCAGAAGATGTGCCGGCTGCTGATCACGAAAAAATTAATCAATTACCCCGCATCCCAACAGCCCTTCACCTTTGGACGCCAACCCTTCGGGTGACGATGCCTTGCTCGAGCTCACATATATGCATTGGGCCTTTCCATGTGACTGACGTAATCGCACAACGAATAGCCCGTCGACCGTTCACGACCACGTGGTCCGAAGCGTAATTGATAGCGGTTCGGCCGTGGCTTAATTGCTGGAACGGATGGTGGCCGAAATGAAGCTGGCCCATCCTGTCGGGACTGACACGCGGTGGATCTGTGCTCCGCCCATGTGTAGCCCAGTCAGGAATGTGCCGACTTCATCTCCCTGGTCACGTAGTGCAGACGTGGCGCGATGGTAGCCAGCTTTCCGCAGGGCCTTTATCACGCGTTGGTATCTAAAGCCACTCGAGCCCATCGAGCTCGGCCTGGATAACTAATACGGAGCCATTGATTTACCGGCCGTCTCCCCCTATCTGCACCCCGGTGGAATGGTCTGGCCCTGAAATAGCGGCAGCATTATCGTGTCGGTCAGTTCCAATGAGCTAATGACGGCGGGGCCGTTCTTCTCAGTCAGTGCCAGATTTGGTGATGGGCGATGGCGGAAATGGATTGCGCTTTCAATCTGCGTCCAGGGTTTGACCACGCAACGGCGGATTTAACGACGTGCCAGCGGATGCTCTTTGAGGGCGCTGCTTCACACGGACATAAATTTTCTGACTTACGTTAATGGGAGGGGCTTTTGCAGGCCATCCACCGCTTAAAAATCCGGCAGCGTCTGAAACGAGCCACCGCAAAAGCTGCCGAGGTTCTGACATCTATTACGTTCAAGGCGAATGGGCCCGTTCTAGGCAAAATAGTCCTCCTTAATTACTAATTTATTCTGCTGGCGAGAGTGGGGAGCTGTTCTTGAAGGAGCCACCCTCCATATCCAAGATGTTTTCCCTTCGCTGTGATCCAGAGCAGTCGACCAGAATGCCATTCAAGGAGAGCAAGGTTCTAGAAAGACTCGGTTGTCGACGTCATCAATGTAGATGAGAAGTATGACAGCCAAATGTGGTGATGCGCACGCCAGCTCCATGTCCGACAAAGGGCGTTTCTTTGCAGCCAACAAGAACGGTAGATTGTATGCATTATGATGTCTCGTCTTGGAATCGGCTGGAAGGCGAAGGCAACTGGAGCTCCCGCTTCGACTTCACAGGCGACGATGTCACGAACAAGATGAAATGTTGCATGTACGTCCCTTTATTTAAACACGGCGAGGATGCTTGCCGGCAACATAACTGAATGGTAGTGAGTTCGATGCTTCGCCCTGTCGTCCCCAACATGGTCACGGAATACCCCGAATGATTGGCTACAAGAAGTGCACTGCGAACACCTCGATGTGACTGATGTGGGTCCTCGACACGTCGTTGGGCATCAGGAAGGTGACACGCGCCAGTGACACCGTCCCGTAAACAGCCCGCGAACCTTATCAAATTCGCTACGGAAATGGAAAAACAGCCAGGGCTTATTCCTGGGCGTGGTACGTCGCTCAACAGTGACAGGATACCAAGCGTCAGTGTGTAAAAACGCTTGCAAACAGTAGAAGAAGACTGCAATGTCAAACGTGTCGTCTGCAGCCATCAAAGATAGAATCGCACGATGTTTGTGACGCTGGGAGAAAACAACCAGATCAGGTCCGGGGCAGATGAAAACAGGACATGGGCTGCATCGCCACTTGTTTAGCAGAATACGGCCACCCTAAAAGGGTCACTGTCAGAAGGGCATGGCGGCGCACCGAGCGGCGCGCCGGGCGGGCAGAACATCTTTCGTGAAGCCACAGCCGCCACTTTATTGCTAATGGCTGTCAAAAAGGAGGCAAATGTAACGTGCGCGCGATTTCAGGAAAGCATCAGGTCTGCGACAAGTGGTAATGCATGTCAAGCTTCCTGACGGCACCGGCCTCCCCAGAAACTGTATTCATGGTATCCCATGGAGCTACAGTGGAGGTGACCTAGGGAAGCCGGGCGTCCCTCCAGGGAGCGGATGGCTGGGATATGAGATGGTAAGCATCAGAGGCCGGTCAGAGAAGCCTGATGTTGCCGCGCGCACCTGATCAGAGGGTCACTGTCAGCGTCCCACCTGATCAGAGGGTCGCCGTCAGCTTCCTACCTAATCAGAGGGTCGCCGTCAACGTCCCACCTGATCAGAGGGTCGCTATCAGCGTCCCACCTGATCAGAGGGTCACTGTCAGCGTCCCACCCAATCAGAGGGTCGCCGTCAACGTCCCACCTGATCAGAGGGTCGCTGTCAGTGTCCCACCTGGTCAGAGGGTCGCTGTCAGTGTCCCACCTGATCAGAGGGTCACCGTCAGCTTCCCACCTAATCAGAGGGTCGCTGTCGGCGTCCCACCTGATCAGAGGGTCACCGTCAGCTTCCCACCTAATCAGAGGGTCGCCGTCGGCGTCCCACCTGATCAGAGGGTCGCCGTCGGCGTCCCACCTTACCAGAGGGTCGCTGTCAGCGTCCCACCTGATCAGAGGGTCACTCTCAGCGTCCCACCTGATCAGAGGGTCGCCGTCGGCTTCCCACCTGATCAGAGGGTCACTGTCAGCGTCCCACCTAATCAGAGGGTCGCCGTCAGCTTCCTACCTAATCAGAGGGTCGCTGTCAGTGTCCCACCTGATAAAGAGGGTCCCTGTCAGCTTCCCACCTGATCATAGGGTCGCCGTCAGCGTCCCACCCAATCAGAGGGCCGCCGTCAACGTCCCACCCGATCAGAGGGTCGCTGTCAACGTCCCACCTGATCAGAGGGTCGCTGTCAACGTCCCACCCGATCAGAGGGTCGCTGTCAACGTCCCACCCGATCAGAGGGTCGCTGTCAACGTCCCACCTGATCAGAGGGTCGCTGTCAGTGTCCCACCTGATCAGAGGGTCGCTGTCAGTGTCCCACCTGATCAGAGGGTCACCGTCAGCTTCCCACCTAGTCAGAGGGTCGCTGTCGGCGTCCCACCTGATCAGAGGGTCGCCGTCGGCGTCCCACCTTACCAGAGGGTCGCTGTCAGCGTCCCACCTGATCAGAGGGTCACTCTCAGCGTCCCACCTGATCAGAGGGTCGCCGTCGGCTTCCCACCTGATCAGAGGGTCACTGTCAGCGTCCCACCTAATCAGAGGGTCGCCGTCAGCTTCCCACCTGATCAGAGGGTCACTGTCAGCGTCCCACCTGACCAGAGGGTCGCCGTCAGCTTCCCACCCGATCAGAGGGTCGCTGTCAGCGTCCCACCTGATCAGAGGGTCGCTGTCAGTGTCCCACCTGATCAGAGGGTCGCTGTCAGTGTCCCACGTGATCAGAGGGTCACCGTCAGCTTCCCACCTAATCAGAGGGTCGCTGTCGGCGTCCCACCTGATCAGAGGGTCGCCGTCGGCGTCCCACCTTACCAGAGGGTCGCTGTCAGCGTCCCACCTGATCAGAGGGTCACTCTCAGCGTCCCACCTGATCAGAGGGTCACCGTCGGCTTCCCACCTGATCAGAGGGTCACCGTCAGCGTCCCACCTAATCAGAGGGTCGCCGTCAGCTTCCCACCTGATCAGAGGGTCACTGTCAGCGTCCCACCTGACCAGAGGGTCGCCGTCAGCTTCCCACCCGATCAGAGGGTCGCTGTCAGCGTCCCACCTGATCAGAGGGTCGCCGTCAACGTTCCACCTGGTCAGACGGTCGCTGTCAGCGTCCCACCTGATCAGAGGGTCACTGTCAGCGTCTCACCTGATCAGAGGGTCGCCGTCAGCTTCCCACCTGATCAGAGGGTCACTGTCAGCGTCCCACCTAATCAGAGGGTCGCCGTCAGCTTCCCACCTGATCAGAGGGTCGCTGTCAACGTCCCACCTGATCAGAGGGTCGCCGTCAACGTCCCACCTGATCGGAGGGTCGCCGTCAACGTCCAACCTGATCATAGGGTCGCCGTCGGCGTCCCACCTGATCAGAGGGTCACTGTCAGCGTCCCACCTGATCAGAGGGCCGCCGTCGGCCAGCGGAAAGTGAAGCAGTAAGCCTTCGGGCTGGATCCATGTTGGTGACTAAAGCAAATAAAGGACGAAGCCTGCATGACATTAGTAGAGAACTCCACCGTGACCAAGACGTGTCCATCATGAGGTCTGTTTAAGGACAATGGCTTTGGAAGACAAGTGTGAAAGGAAAGGTGTCATTGATTTTGTATTGCACCTTGAATATTTTAGGATGGGTTGTACTCAACTAACTTATTCGTGCTTGGGGACGACCAGAGAATTCGATCGAGACGCTAGTTTTTTAAATATGCTTTATGCCCTCCCGTGTCCGTTTGCCTGTGAATTTAGCGGGTCATGCCTGCAGCGGCAGCATATGAAGCACCACCTGCAATTCTCCCAGTCATGGCGTGCACGCCTTTTCACTCCTGGAAGGCGACGTTTAGCCAGAGTCCCTGGTGCATTTCCTGTCAGCACCAGTTAGTGACGACATCGCCAACATCCATCGCTTTAAGACACACTCTTCCTCAGGTGTCCTCCTGCGGACCAAATGCCGATAAAGTGCCCGCCGCCCGAAGCTTGATAACACGGTGCTCCGCGGTGATGTACGAGGTCAGGGCCGGACGATCGCAGCACCGCGCACAGCGCCATCCGTCAGGCAGCTGGCGTGTTGCACTCCTTCTGCATCACTGCCACTCGGCTGAGCTACTTAGGAC